ATTTTGGGTGATATGTAACTGATTTGAAATTTCTGTTTTTCACGAAATTTACTTTGGATAATTGCTTATGCTTATTTCACCCTAATGGCTTGTATTTGGTGCAAAAGATGATGGGAATAAGAGGAAAAGAACAACTTTGGAGTTATCGTAAAAAGAGGAAATTTTAAACAGACTAGACGCTCGTGAAAGTTCATTGTATCTAATCGCTGAGTTCAACATAGGAAAGTCAACATTGTATGATATAAAATCTTCCAAAGAAACTATTCTCCAGCGTTCACACTGTCACAATAAACAAGGAAATAAAAACATGATTGTGATGAAACCTGGATTGAAATTGAAAAAGCTATTGAAAAGAAGCCAGCATTCAGCTATGACGATTACAATAATGCAAGCAGTGGTAAAAAGTGTCTTCCGTTTAAAAAAATTCAAGAATAAAAGCAAAACGAAACGCAGAAAAAGTTGAGAATGACATTAGAAGAGAAAGAATCATTATGCAACAACGATTAAAAAATCCTCGTGACATTATTTGTTTTGCATACGTGGCATAATTAATTTAATGAATTTTCATTAACATTACATAATTTATTTCTTTTTCCTTGAAATCAGTTCCGTTATATTTTACTCATCATTAGCTTATTTTGTTTATTATAAAACATTGAAAATAAATGTTAAACCTAATTTCAGTTCTTTTATTTTAATCTAAATATAAGCCGTCATATCCGGACTTTGTAACCAATTCCTCATATCCGGAAGGCCTATTGGTCCGATTGTCAGGGATTCTACTGTATATACATATATATTTTTTGGAAATATGTTTTACTTCAAAAGATAAACTACAATTATTTTTTATTGATTATATATTCACCATTATTTACAGTTATTTATTACAAGTGGATGTGCGAGTGGTGTAATGCATAATATCTAAAAATAAGAAATCAGAAGGCCAAGTTCGAAATCCAGCCGGATTCGTTACATTCACTTACGCGAATTCCCTTTGGAAAGGTATGAATCCATCTCTTCTCTCTCCAGCTAGGAGTTGAATAGCAGGACAGAATGGATTCTATAGCCTTGTTTTGAAAGCAATCCAACACAGAAAGAAACGGCAACCTACTGCGTGAAAATCTTCTGCCTCGTCAGTCATGAATGGAAAGAGACATGATCCCCTAAGCGTGTATCACGTATGGCACTTGACTGACTTTATATTTTTCCCTCCAGCTATGGGTTCAATAATAGGACAGAATCGGTCTGGTAACCAGACTATCGCAGAAAGAAACGGCAACCTCTTGTGGGAAAATCTTCTGCCTAGTCAGTCATGAATCGAGAGTAACATGATCGCCGAAGCGTGTATCATGTATGGTACTTAACTGATTGATTATCACTTATCAGGCAGCTCTTCCATATCTTTTAAGTAAACTTCCGGGGGGGGGTATTTGAAAAAGTTTTCGACCAACACATGATTCTGGTTTTCCTCATCAGCAAGTGAAAAAATGGAAATAAACGCTTGGCACAAGATCAGGTGAAATGCTTTAAAACAGACCAACCAACTTCCAATTTATTTTTCTTATTTCGTATTATTTGTTTTGTATATGGTCTTGCAATTATCATATCTGGTCGCAAGTTTCTTCACAAGGTTCACACATTTAAAGAAATCATAAGTAAATTCTATCCCATAGTAAAATCTTTTCCGTATGAAGTTACTACATATTTGTTTAATTCTTGTTTATTTCTCGTCCAATGATTTGTCAAGTCTAAATATTTTGACATTTTGGGTTTGTCGTGCCAATCTGTGGGATCTGGTGATAGTTTTCTTTAAGACCTAAAGAATTCATTCGCTTGAAGCCATTTCGTGAAAACAAATACTTATCCTGCCATTCTAAAATTTGAAAATAACTTCAAGACCTTTAGCACTGGTTCTTTGATTGCCTTAAGAGACTTAAATAATAGTTTTTAAAAGATATATTTGACATTCTATGCTTTATTTCCATGCTGAAATGTAGTCCTAGGTATGATGATAAACTACATCCGGCAGCTATGGCAGATTGCAGGTTTTGATGAGCCATTTAATTGATGTCGTACCTAGGTCCACCCTGACTCGTGGTGATAGCAACTATTGGGGTCCCACCTATGGGTAGATGCAGCAACCCCAAACAAAATTTAAAACACTAGGAAAGTATAAAAACATTTACTAAAAATACATTTTTATAAAAAAAATTACCAATAATACATCTTTATTACGATAAAACTCTATGAACTTTGTTTGTGTGTTTGCCAGAAGTCAAATACAGAGAGTGGATAAAGAAATATGTAAATTTATTAGCGTGTATGAAGGGGGGAAATGAAGAACACACGAAATCCGGCCCCAAACAGGATACGCACAGCTGTCATCAAGGTCCACGCCACTCTCACTTGTAAACTTCACGACCTCATTCTAAAGGCGACAGCGCTGACAAACTTCAAAGAGACCGCTTCAGGCTACAGCTACACCGTCCTCAGTAAGAAACAAATTCTTGTATGATTTAAAAATACGATTTGTTTATACAATATTTTTATTTTAACTTTCTTCAAACAGACAATTTTTTAATATTGAAAGAAACTTCAGTGTTTTATAATCTGAATCTTCAGTGACTCAAAGGGCCATGGGTAGTATACTTTAAACAAACAAAAAATATTGTAAATAAAAGTATTTTGTAAATAAATATAAAGTTTAATAAAATAAACGGGTCACGAGTGGTCTAATTTTATATTAAAATTACGAACAATAAATTTTTATTGCATATCGGATTGTAAATTTGCATGTTAGATCTAAATTACTAACAATGTACAATTATTGATAAACATTTTAACTAGAGGCTTACTAATATCTATACAATTAGCTAATTAACAACTATATAATACACTAGAAATCAATTATTATTAATTATTGACCAGAAAATAGATAAAATATACATCAATCAGAAAGTGATTTCAACTTTTACTTTAAAAAATATTCATTAACGAGAGATAAAAATAATTTAAGAAAAAAATAATCGTTAATGAGATTCGGAGACAAGGAAGTTTTATTCCATGATTTTGTTTGAAATTTATAGTCTTCAATTTCCCACACATTTTTTGGTTTACGGCATATCAGCATTAATGGGTTATTTAATGCCGACAAGATATTTATTGCTAACATTTTTCCAAAAATGTATTGTTAGTAATATTTTACAGTTTAGGGGTTAACTATTTGCCCATAACTGGGACCCTAACAGGTTCTACCACCCTGGGTCAGGGTGGACCTGGGAACACCAGCAATTAAGAGGTGGTTCCACGCTCCTCAAAATCTCCTGATGAGAGGCTTTGCTGTTGCACGTAGTTTATTGTCTTACCCAGGAGGCGGATGTAGTTTATCGTCTTACCCAGGACGCGGATGTAGTCTATTGTCTTACCCAGAATGGTCACTGCAAACGGTAAGATAAGCCGTTTCTATACAGAAAACATTTGCTATTCATTGTCTGAACAGTTATCATTATTCAAGTTAAGGGAGTTCGAAGCATATAAAAAGACAAACATTGCTAAGCGATCTCGATGCCAGTCTAGTATTTCACTTAAATTCAAAAAGATCTAGGTTCCATAGCGAAGAGAGTATTTATAGAAAAGGCACAGGGAGGCAACTTTACGGCGGTGGGAAAGTGACCGAAGCCGTGATGCCAGATCAGGACAAATAATATTGCAGATTCTTCTTTGGATTTTATCAAGGAGCTCTAGATACATAGGCAGAGCAGTGGTTCATACACCCTTGTGCAAATTAATTGAAACAATCGCTATAGTTCACTATTTACATTGTTCGGACTATCGTCCTCATCTTTGTTGGCATATTTATCACAACGTTTCGGCCGTTGCACGCTCCGGACTTCTTCAGCAACAAAGATGAGGATGATAGTCCGAACAATGTAAATAGTGTAGATAATACTTCATCTCAGAAGTATAGACAGGAATTGCTATAGTTTCCTTTCTATCACCATACGATCAGTTTTAGACCCGCTGAAGTGACAGGGTATAATCGATTTATATTTTTCCTTAGATTATGTCATTTGCAGTAGTGTGCGATAATATGAATCTTTTTTCCGAGTGTATGATGAAATTTGTTTGGCCTTGAAAAATGTTCATATGTGATTGCATCAGATTTTTATAACGCCCAGATATTATTGTCTCGACTGTCGATTAGTTGTTCTACTGCCATTGTCTCCAAGGAAGCATACGAAAATTGAAACGCTGCACGAACACACCGGTAAGCCTTACCAGTGAACAAATCAAAGTACTATATATTGTCATGGAAACTCTCCTGATTTAAATTCAATCGAGAATCTGTGGTCAATCTGCAAGGAACGACTTCGTGGAACGGATATACGAAGTATTAACATGTGCACTGGGTCATGTTTCAATGGAAAAATACGAAAAAAAATAACGAGTGGTAGACTTGTAAATATCCAGGATAGTTTCGGGTGAGAAAAATTGTCTAGCAAGACACAGGGATCCAACTTTCCTAGCAGCAGACTTGGCAATTGACTAAATATGATCTTTCCATTCCATTTCAGCGCGAAAAGGTTAGCCCGAGAAAGCGCAGTCACGCTCTAGAGGTTAGCATCAGCAGGCATGCTGATGGAAGGCAAATAAAGGTTATCTAAGATGATTAAAAGAGGGCATCTCATTCTGATCATATCTATCTATCTATCTATAGATACATAGCAGGAGCAGTGGTTTATATGCGGCAGCAATATTCCATGCATGGATGAATGGTAGACTTATAGATATGTAGGATAGATTCTGGCGAGAAAAATTGCCTCGCACAATATAGTGATCCAAATTTCTTAGCATCTGACCTAGCAATGGATTCAGTATAGTTTTTCCTCTTCATGTCAGATGAGAACGCTAGCCCGAGAAGACGCAACGGGTCACTTTCATGGAGGTTAGCTTCATGCATGCTGATGCAAAGCAGAAAGGTTCTCTGAGATGATTACTAGAGAAAAGTTCTATCTATCTATCTATCTATCTATCTATCTATCTATCTATCTATCTATCTTAGTCTTTTAATATCTATCTATCTATCTATCTATCTATCTCAGTCTGTTCATATTTATCTATCTATTTCCGCCTGTTTATTAATTTTAATATCTATCGATCTATCTGTCTGCCTGGCTATCTATCTATCTATCTATCTATCTATCTATCTATCTATCTATCTATCTCAGTCTGTTCATCTTTATCTATTTATTTCCGCCTGTTCATTATCTATCTATCTATCTATCTATCTATCTATCGATACATACCAGGAGCAGTGGTTCATATGTGGCGGCAATATTCCATGCATGGACGAATGGTAGACTTATAGATATGTAAGATAGATTCTGGCGAGAAAAATTGTCTCGCACAACACACTGATCCAAATTTCTTAACTGCTGACTTAGCAATGGATTCAGTATAGTCTTTCCACTTCATGACCATTGAGAATGTAATCCTGAGAAAGTGCAGCGAAGTTTTCACTTCTCGTTTGATTTTCTAAGAATATTTGGTAAAAAATAATGATACTATGAAATTATAATTTAATCATGAAATAATGTCATTGTCTTGAATTAATTTTCATATCTAAATTTTGGCATTAAATAACCCTTATGTATTCATATGCCGCTAAATAAAACTATCAAACTAAAATGATAATGATTATATTAGCCATTTGCTTATAAGGAAAACATTCGGCAACATTGATCAAGCAGCCATTGCTGCTATCGATTGAAATTTATAAAATATTTGTCTTAAAACAAATTTTCAGTTTTTTGAAAGGATTCTCAAGCACACTAGTTGTTATTACTCTTTCCGGCATTAATGAAGGCTTCGTTTTTAACCTTTTAAATGTAGTGTGAAAAGTCAACATCTTGAATATGTTATTTTCTCTTTGATTTACATGTGCTATCCATTTTTATTGTTGCTGCTGTTGAAAGTCTTCGGTTTCTGTTACTTAGTACGGTTCTTTGTTTGTGATTCTGTAGCGCCAATCCACAATGTTCGAAAAAGGATGGTCTTCGCAAAGATCCACAGGCTTCACTCGCTTAAAGTTGTTTATAACCATTTATCTTAGAAAACGGTTGTATACAACTGACAGTTTAGAAATGAATAATACATATATATATATATATATATATATATATATATATATATATATATATATATATATTTATAGATAGATAGATAGATAGAGAGAGAGAGAAAGAAAGAAAGAAAGAGAGCGTATGTGTGCGTGATAGATAGATATAGATAGATAGATAGATAGATAGATAGATAGATAGATGAAAGTTTTCTTTTATTTGGTACACTTTGCGATTCTGTAGCGCCAATCCACAATGAAGAAGAATGATATTCGCAAAGATCCACAGCCATTGAACTTAGAAAAAGGCTGTATATTGCTGGCAATTTAAATAACCCATATGTCTTTATATGTCGCTCAATAAAACTATCTAAATTAAATTTTGGCATTAAATGACCCGTAGAGAGTTGATATGCCGTTCACCAAACCATTCCATTCTACCAATTCTACTACCATGGGAACTCTATCTTCCCCGTCTGCGGTGTTGTTTAAATTAGTAATGACTAAAATGTATCCTTAGTTTATGTTAAGTGAACTTTTTTTAATCATTTCACCCCAAGGAAGACAATAAAGCCACTAAGATGCTGAGTGGGAAAGAATTACAGAAAAAAAAAGATAAAAATTATTAAAGAACAGGAATTAAGAAGACAAAAGATAACTATTGACATTGCATTTAAATTTTTGAAGATCAAGCTTGTCTGGAAAGCAGGGTATGGCAGATATTTTCAAAGGCTAAAAATGAGAGTGAAGGAACTGCTAGCACAGAACTTACGGTCACAATATTTTTACGTTGAAAAAGTTCTAGGAACAACGTGGATCAATTTTGTTTTTCTTTTAGGATGGTAATTGCTGTTCGTGCTGTTTTTTAAATAACATGTCACTTCAAGATATAGAAGAGTATAGCTCTCCACAACTTCCGTTTCCTTATTTTCTGTGTACAGCAATGAATTCTTGAAAATATACTTTCCAAAGAAACTATTTTGCTGTACTGTTGACGCCTCCACGGTTTTGGAATCAGAATAGTCTTTCTCCTAGACTGGCTGCCACCCAAGGCTAGATAATCCAGTGTCACTCTCCTATTTAATCCGTAGGTGAAAGTATCTGTAAGTATTGTTCGGGTTGACGTTAACGAACATATCACGTTGAAAGCCCCAGTTCTCTACGAATTTAAGCAACGTTGTACCTAGTCAATACTCAGATGGGTGTCTGTTAAGGAATACATGATGTCGGGCCTACCTAGTAAGCTGGCGATGGGTACTATCTCATTACTTATACTAACAGAAGACCTCGATATGCGCAGACGTTTCTTGACTTACAGGTCACAGGTTACTTTCTTTGTTTCTTTCTTTCTTTCTTTCCAGTGTATCATCTCCCTATCATTCTCTCTTTTCTTTATATCTTCCTTTCCCTCACTTTTCCTCCCGTCACATTCTTTCTTTCTTTCTTTCTTTCTTTCTTTCTTTCTTTCTTTCTTTCTTTCTAGTGTTTTCTCTATCACTCTCTTTCTTCATATCTTCCTTTCTCTCAATGTACCGTCTCATCACTTTCTTTCTTTCTTTATTTATTTATTTATTTATTTATTTATTTATTTCTTCCATTCTTTCTTTCTTTCTTTCTTTCTTTCTTTCTAGTGTTTTCTCTATCCTCTCTTTCTTTATATCTTAATTTCTCTCAATGTACTGTCTCATCCACTTTCTTTCTTTCTTTCTTTCTTTTTATTTATTTCATTTCCCTATTTATTTTTTATCTTCTTTCATTCACTTTTCTTTTTGGTTTTTTTCTTTTTTCTCTTTTCTTTTCTTTCTTTCTTTCTTTTCTTTTCTTTCTTTTTTCTTTCTTCTAGTGTTTTCTCTTCACTCTCTTTCTTTATATCTTAATTTCTCTCAATGTACTGTCTCACCACTTTCTTTCTTTCTTTTTTCTTTCTTTCTTTTTTCTTTCTTTCTTTATTCAGTTCTTTCATCTTTTCTTTCTTTCTTTCTTTTATATCTTTCTTTTTCTCTATCCTTCTTTCTTTTCTTTTTCTCTCAATGTTTTTTTTCTTTCTTTTTGTTTCTTTTCTTTCTTTCTTTCTTTTCTTTCAGTGTATCATCTTCTTTTTTTCTTTCTTTCTTTTTTTTTTTTGGTTTTTTAGTTTTTTTGTTTTTTCTTTCTTTCTTTCTTTCTTTCTTTCTTTCTTTATTTTTCTTTCTTTCTTTCTTTCTATGTTTTCTCTCACCTTTCTTTATATCTTTTTCTCTCAATTTGTCTCTTTCTTTCTTTCTTTCTTTCTTTCTTTATTTATTTATTCCGTTCTTTCTTTCTTTCTTTCTTTCTTTCTTTCTTTCTTTCTTTCTAGTGTTTTCTCTATCACTCTCTTTCTTTATATCTTAATTTCTCTCAATGTACTGTCTCGCCGCTTTCTTTCTTTCTTTCTTTTCTTTATTTCTTTCTTTCAGTGTATCATCTCCCTATCACTCTGTTTTTATATCTTTCTTTCCTTCACTTTTTTTTTTGGTTTTTTTATCTTTTTGTCTCTTTTCTTTCTTTCTTTCTTTCTTTCTTTCTTTCTTTCTTTCTTTCTTTCTTTCTTTCTTTCTAGTGTTTTCTCTATCACTCTCTTTCTTTATATCTTAATTTCTCTCAATGTACCGTCTCGCCGCTTTCTTTCTTTCTTTCTTTCTTTCTTTATTTCTTTCAGTGTATCATCTCTCTATCACTCTGTTTTTATATCTTTCTTTCCTTCACTTTTCTTTTTTGTTTTTCTATCTTTTTGTCTCTTTTCTTTCTTTCTTTCTTTCTCTTCATTCTTTATATCTTCCGTTCTATCACACCTTCTTTCTTTCTCATTTATTTACTCTTTTCTTTCCATTTCTTCTTTCTTTCTTTACTTTCTCACTTTTCTGATTTTTCTTCATCCTTTGTAACTTTTTTCTCTTTTTTGTCTCTATTCTTTTTTGTCTTTGCTTCTCTCGCTTCTTTCTTTCATTGCGGCTTTTCCTTTTCTTCCTCTCTCTTCTTTCTTTATATATTCTGTTCTCTCACTTTTCCCATTCTCGTCTTTGTTTCTTTCTTTCATATTTATTTTCTCTTTTTTCCCATTTCTTTTCTTTTTGACTCCCCTTATTTTTCTTCATCTTTTATAACCTTCTTTCCTTTCTGTCTTTCTTTCTCTCGATGTTTTTTCTTTCTTTCCGGCATTTCTCTCTCTCTCTCTCTCTCTCTCTCTCTCTCTTTGTCTCTCTCTTTCTCCCTCTATTCTTTTTATTTTGCTTTCTCTCACCTTTCCCTCCCACTCCATTCTTTCTTTCTTTCTTTCTTTCTTTCTTTCTTTCTTTCTTTCTAGTTTATTTTCACTTTTCCCCTATTTCTCTTTCTTTTCCCACTGTCGTCTTTCTTTCTTTCTTATTTATTTTCTCTATTTTTTTCACATTTCGCTTTCTTCTTTCTTTTCTTTCTCACTTCTCTTTATTTTTCTTCATCTTTTATATTATATAGCTTTCTTTCTTTCGATTTGTTTTCTTTCTTTCCAAGTTTTCTCTCTCTTTCTCTCTCAATTCTTACTTCATATTTTCCTTTCTCTCAACTTTCCCCCTCACCCTTTCTTTATTTCTTTCTTACTTTCTTTCTCATTCATTTTCACTTTCTTCTTTCTTTATTTTCCTTCTCACTTTTATTTTTTTCTTCCTCCTTTTAACATTCATTTTCGCCTTTTCTCTCTTTTTCTTCATGGTGTCTTTCTCTCTCCTCATCGCTTTTCTTTTGTGTCTGTGGTTCTCTCTCTTTTTGCTTTCTTTCTGTCTTTCTTTCTTATTTCTTGCTTCTATTTTTCTTCTGCCTTTCATGTCCATCCCTCTTTTTTCTTCATCCTTTCTCCATATAACACCTCTTCTGCCTAGCCTCTTTCTATCTATTTGTCTTTGTTGAGAGAAAGAGAAAATCTTTTACTGGAGACACCTTCTGTTGCAATCTCTTACGAAAACGTTCCCCCAATTCACTTGGCAGACTAATATGTTTCAAGAACTCGACACCCCCGAAAAGTCCAATATGTCGTAACATCTCTCAAGAAGAAAAAATATAATAAAATAAATTGCAGAAAATTCAAACACTAAGATATCTTCTCCGATTAGCGATGAGTCCAGATTCAAAAATAAGAACTTGACACTGCCTCGTTCTGATAATCATCACCCAGGTCATCTTTTTAAAAGTACCCTTTTTTTTCCTATCAGAAATTGAAAGCAGAAAAGATCTTATCTCGTTTCTGTCTAACGGTTATGAGGGAAAAGAGAAAACAAAATCGAATTACAGGACACGGATCTTCTTTCTTTTTTTTTTTTGTTATATATATATATATTTTTGTTCATATTCTCGCTCTCGTCGGCACGTAATCTCGGCTTCGCTCCTTTTTCGTGTGAAATGAAATAATGTGAAGGGCTTGCTGTTGTTATCAGAAAAGATGGCTGCCGACGGCTTCTCATCATTTGTCAGTGAACTGTTTTTTTCTCTCTCCTTGTTATTGCTTTAATCTTTATACCTGCGAGAGATAATGTATAGTACAAGCGAGTATATTTTAAAGGAAACCCCGCCCCGAAAAAATCAAATGACAACTATATTTGCAATAATAATAAAAATAATAATAATAATAATTTTAAAAAAAGAAAGGATAATAATACTGATTTTACAACAAAATAATAGGAGTTATTATCGCGACCATCGTAATTATCAATAATTCTTGGAGCGTTTAAGCCATTAATATTATTACCCCTTTTTATCACTATTGTCGTTATGTTAGCATATTTTATTGCTTCCCAGAGATCTTCTTTGTTTTCCTTTCTCATATGCTATACTTAGCGCCATATAAAACATGTTTCCCCAACCCCCTAAAAAATGGTTTTAAACAATCGTCCTACGTTATACAGGGTGTGCCAGAATTAACTATTTCATTGAAATCGGACAATTTTTTTAAAACTGACTTTTGATTCTGTTCATCATGTTTAATACGTGTTAGAAACTGTTAGGGGAGACAACTCTTCCCCTAACGAATCAGTGACTCTTCACGAAAAAAAAAAATGGAAAAAAAGGGTAGTATCAGATAACAACATGGCTGCTGGACAATACACCACCTGTAGACAGTGAATTGTTTATCCAACTCAATCTTGGTGTATTCCGGGTCGGTGAGAATAAAAACAAATATTGTTGTGTTTCAAAATATATTTAACTGTGTTTTATTATATTTTGTTGTTCCTAATATTTTGGTTTACAACAGAAACGTATACATTTCTAATTTGTTTTTTTTTATCATTTTTTTTTAATAATTTAATTTCCATTCCCTTTCAGAACACTATTAATAATGAATATACAAGTACGCATCTTTGTTACCCACCTCCCCGATTTCTTTGCATGGTGTCTTTCATAAAAACAAAGGTTTATCGCCAGAAGCTGAGCTTAGGACATTCAGTTAGTAGTGCAGGAAATAACTTCAAAATGTGTTTCGCAACGCCAAACATAAATTTGAAATTTTCAATAAAGTTTTAACGTAAGATTTATAAATCTATTTATTTTGTATCATAAATAAGTAATAAACATAAAATTGTGCCAGTTTCTTTAATTTTCCCGATTTCATTGAAATAGTAATTCTGGATCAGTATATATATATATATATATATATATATATATATATATCTGTGTGTGTGTGTGTGTGTGTGTGTGTGTGTGTGTGTGTGTGTGTGTGTGTTTAGGCGGCAAATTCTCTTTTAGGTATGTCTGATTATATAATTTAAAGACATTGCTAATTTTTAACAAAATCCGTTCATACCCACGTATAACCTTCCGTGTATTGATATTAAAGGGTGAAAGAAATGTGCTATACATGTTTAAATTTCTTTTATTTTAATTTCCCAAGTACTTTCGATCTTCTTCCAAGATCATCTTCAGGGATGCAAGTAGTATAAAACTATATGTTGTTCATTAGTACAAGTATTTATACAAAGCTGTGCGTTGTTACCCATTACCGTATTTGTTTTCATTATGCTTTTAAATGCAAAACGGTTGACAATGTTCTGAGCGTTCATTAGAACGTGAAAAAATTATCCATTGGGATATATATATATATATATATATATATAGAGAGAGAGAGAGAGAGAGATAGATATAACAACAAGTCTTGTGGAAATTGGAGTAAATAAAATTTTCATTGAGTTCTGAACAATTCTATCGAAGCAAAAGCAATCAAAAATTCATATTGATACAACATTAATAATAAAATGTAAAATATTCGCTCAACTGTTGCCTCGAAAAAATATAATTTCAAAAACTTTTACCTTTACAAAGATAAAACAACATTTATACATAAAAACTTTTATACAACTTGACGACATACGGCAAAGATTTCATCAACTTTCTAAGTAAGATCTTATGACCCATAGTATACATATGGTAGATTAGAAGTTTATCAGATATGGATGCGTGGGGAAGTCTCAGAGGGTTCTTGGCAATTATTTATCGGAATCTTTGAAATAAAACGAACTGGGTATAAGATATAAACAAATAATATATATAATGACTTATTTGATTTAGAATGGAATGAGTCCTTTGATATTTGGTGTAGCAAAAGTTCGTTTACAATGCAGAACTCTTGCAAAGATGTCATCAAAAATTTTGACCATCGAGTGGAAATGTGCCAGCACCTCCTACTTCCGGCATCCCTATCTCAACCTAACTCACCAGATTGATCGGCGTTAATGAAATTGCTTACAACAGCCCTGAACTTCCGGTTACGCTAGGTCCCTACTTCCGGCCTTCCTGTCACCTGGTTTAAGAAATTGCTGCATTTAAATCGTCCAGACTCAAACAACCTATTCCGTACACTTCCGTTAGAATACTATGGGAAGTTCACCATTGAACTTAACCTGCAACTTTTCAACACTTTCGCCGGACATTTGAATAGAATTTTCGAACTGTGGACTTACATACCAACTTAACTTACATGGACTCTGCTTTTAATATTTAGTCACAGTTATAGTATCTAGATCTCCTAGCAGGTCAGTATTCTTTAATTTACTTAATTCTGCCTCCACTACTTGATTAATTGTTTTGCTTGTGTTCCTTTAAACGAATCACTACCATTGTATACGATCTAAATAAATTTTTGTATTAATTTTAAGTTTATTGTTTGTTGTCCTCTTGTTGACCTGTCAGATTCACGTCTTTAATTTATAAACGTTAGTGGGCCTCTTGTGACATCTATCCCTTATTGGGGCGCACAGGCCATATTATATCGCACCCCCTTCCAGGGGTCCACTACAGCGTACATAAAAACAATCCTATCGAAGCAAAAGCAATAAAAAATTCAAATCAATACAACATTAATAATAAAATGTAAAATATTCGCTCAACTGTTCCCTCGAAAAAATATAATTTCAAAAAATATTCCTTAAATTTATACATAACAGAAAGACTATTCCTTAAATTTATACATAAAAACATTTATAAAGATTAATAATGATAATAAAGGCCAAATATTAAATCACAATTGCTTAACATACAACACATGGCTGTATTCTAAGTAAATACCTCCATAGATTTAAAATAGGTACTTCCAAATATTTTCTAAAAATTGGCATAGCATGATGAAAAAAAGGCCCCAAACTTAAAAACAAAATTTTATCGTCAAAATGTTTATGCTATTATTAAGAAGAGAGACCAAAGTATTTTCTATTATTTTATTAATTTGCAGGGATACAAACACAGAGCACATGTTGACAAATTTTAATAAGGTTTTGACGTAAGATTTATAAATCTATTTGCTTTGTATCATAATTAAGTAATAAACATAAAATTGTGTCAGTTTTTGTTTGTTTTTTTTAATTTGCCCGATTTCCTTGAAATAATTAATTCTGGAACATCTTGTATATGCAAAGTTTAGGCCTCGGATAGGTTAATTTTATTTCCAACCCTCACTACTATAGGCTATCATTTTGTCTCGAACGTTCAGTTCTATTTAGCATGTCATTATAATATTATTTATTCAAAAGACTTTATTCCTGTTAATACCATTATTAATGCCAGGAACTAAGCTTGCATCAGATTCATTTCTTTTATTATCTGTGAAATGCTACGTCTTCTTGGGGAAGATAGTGGTGTAGTTTCCCTTTGTATTCAATTCAGAGTGGACCTGCTACCCAAGACTAGAGAGCCCAGTCTACCCTAATATTTAATCCATCGATTGGGCGAATAATAATAGTAATAATAATAACACTTGCATCTATGTAGGAAGTATGAAATTAAAGTCCACCATAAATGGTACCGCCACAAGCCAGAGCAGGTGACCGAAAACGGTCAAATCAAAACCTTTTAATATTTTAACATCCAAGCAGACCGCATCCTTGAGAGAACCAAGCCAAACATCAACGTTGTTAGAAAGAAAAAAAAAAACAAAAAAAAAACACACTAAACAAGAAAATGTCTCCCCCTCGATTTGGTTGTTCCTGGTGATAGAAATGTCAAGACTAAAGAAATAGGAAAGCTTAAAAAGTACACTGACCTCCGAATCAATGTTACCAAAATGTGAGACGTTCCGGACACTATTGTCCTTTCTTTTTTTTTTTTGTTTCATCCCAAGCAAGACAAGAGTGACACTAGCACGCAGGGTGTGATACTATTTGTTGTTGCCGCGGTAAAACGGAAGAAAGATTTGTTAAAACAATAGAAAGCGTTATGTGCTGAGAGGCATTGAGACGAGAAGGGTTAGTACCAAAATCCCGTGGGAAGAATTGAGAATTTAATTCACGCATAAACGACTTGAATTTTATGTCGAGCAGTTTGAACAATGAAAAAGTGACCCAGACTTAAGGGTGGGGGTAATGTTGATTGACACACAGCTGCAAATGCAAGCTGTAAAGCAAAAACTTCACTGAGGACGTTTAGTGAGAGGTAATGATATGAGAGACTGGGATAAGGGAATTCCCCAAAATTATGTCCATAAATACGAATGCGCGAAGTGAATTCGCCAGACGAGACGTAATAGAAGACAGAGACGAGACTGCAGAGAGTTCGTCCCAGCCACCGGTCGTGATACACCGTACGTGATTGCCTGCCGAAGAGAAGCCTACGACTTCAGCATTGTGCCAAATTTTACCGATAGCATCACTTCCGGTTTAGATGCGGGCTGGGCTGGTAGTTGATTGCATGTGAACTCTATTATAACCAATTATTGTACGAAGGGCTGATATAAAAATAGTATTTACATTTGTTCAGGTTATTCGAGTGTTATTTTTTTCTCTCTGTGCTTCATCGCCCTGCTTGGACCTGCCCGTCACGAAGATACCTGCGATGATTCGATCTTGGCTGCCTTATGATCAAACTTAAATCACAACGTGGGATAAGGTTAGCTCTGGATTGAAGCGGTCACTTAAGCTCCCAGCCGCGGTGTTGGGTGCCTTGGACGAGTGGCTAGGGTGTTGCACGATTACAAGGGGTAAAGAGGGTGAAAGTGAAAGAAAAGACGGTTGTTGGGTGGGGCTGAGGAAAGAATAAAAGATGAACGGAGATCAAGGCAATAGGAGTTGCATTTAATTTTTGAAGATTGTAGTTCTCAGGGAAGCAAGCAAGAGAAAGGGAGTCCCATAGTCACGAAGTGCAAGAAAAAAACTGCTGGAGTAGAAGTGGCGGTTACATTTACTTATTTCAACAGTAAAAGGGTGGGACCTAGATGCCAATCTAGTAGCACGCTTAAATTCATGTTGTCGGGCACCAGGGCAAAAGGCTCGTCAGAGCAGTTGTCATGAAAATATTTGTAGAAAAGACACAGGGAAGCCAAATCACGCCTGTGAGAAAGTGACTGAAGTTGAGATGCCAAGTCAGGACCTATTATATTGCAGTTCCTTCTTTGGATTTTGTCAAGAACCTCCAGGAAAATCATTATTGCCTTGCTTGATGTGAAATAATAAAAAAAAAAATCCCACCCACTATGAGTTAAATATCAGGGTAGACTGAGCTCTTTAGCATTGGGTGGTACCCAGGTTTGGTTTGGTTTGTTTTACGGCATATCATCCTCAATGGGCTATTTAATGCTGACAAGATTTTTATTTCTGTTAATTTTTTTTTTTAAATGTATTTCTGGTAATATTTTTTCAAAAATATATTGCTTGTATTTCTTTTTCAAAACTGTATTGTTCGCAATATTTTTTCTTTTCTTTTTTTCTTTTTTTTTTCAAAAATGTATTGCTGGTATTTTTTCAAAAAGGTATTGCTGGTATTTTTTTTTAAAAATGTATTGCTGGTATTTTTTCTCCAAAAATGTATTGCTGGTATTTTTTTTTTTTTTCCAAAATTTATTGCTGGTATTTTTTTTTCAAAAATGTATTGCAGATAATTTTTTTCTTCAAAATTTTATTGCTGGTAATAATTTTTGTTACAAATAGTATTTCATCCGAGTAACGAGATATATTCTTCACACCGGTGTCTCCTGTTAAAAAAAAAAAAAAAACACATTCTGAAAAACAGTCACGCTTTTCTTGTTTTGGGTTTTTTTATTTTATTTTATTTATGGTTTTGCTTTTTTTGTTTGTTTTGTTTATTTCAAATTGAAAATTGAATTAAAATATCAACACTCTTCACTTTTTTGTGAAATGTATTCATATTTTAGTGTCAAATGAAAAAATGTTTGTTTATTGTTTTGTTTGTTTTTGTTTTTTAACCAAATTTATCTCATGTAAGGCTGTAAAGCCACTAAGACACAAGGGATTACCGAATTAGACAAACGAAACATTATTAAGGAACGAGAACAATAGAAGAGTAATCAGGAAGATCGTCGATAACGAGATTGTGGTTGATTTTTGAGTTTCAGAGTTGACTGGAAAGCATGTAGCCGGAATGTAGTTCCACATGCGAGAAGTGCGAGCAAAGAAACTGATAGCATAGAACCTGCGGTTACATCTAGTCTTTTCAAACGTAAACCGATGGGACCTTTTCACTAATCTAGTACTGAGCTTAAGTTCATAAAGTTTACGTACTATAGCGAAGAACGATATTTATTCCGAGTATACATGGAGTAATGGATAACGGCTCGGAGAGCCGAGTTCGAATTCCATTCGAATCCATTACATTCGAATGGAATCCATACGTGTTAATACCCTTGGGAAAGGTATGAATCCTCTCCTTCTCTCCCCACCTATGGGTAAATAGCAGGACAACCTGGGTTCTATAGCTTTGTATGGCAACTGCGCGAAAAAATCTGCCACGTCAGTCATGTATCGAAAGATACATGATCGCCTAAGCGTGTATCACGTATGGCACATAACTGACTGATATACAGAAATGTGGCATAAGGCCAAAATGAGGACTGGGGAAAAGAACGGTTTTCTTGTCTTAACGTTTAACTCTAACTAGCCACAAGCACTGACCCAAACATACCACATTATTCCTAACGCCAAAACAACACATCCTACCTACCTTTCTTACGACATCCACCGTAATACCTCATTGTCTCTATGAAAATCCTAACTAGTCCACATATGTACAATTCATTGTCCGTGGGGAGGGGGCGGTGAATAAAACAACAATTTAAAAAGAAAACTAGCCCCAATGAGTATTTCCGATATGAAAACAAAACTATTTACCAAAAACCAAATAAAAGAATAGCTCATCGGAACAATTACGATGAAAAGCACAAGAAAGCCATTTTAAGATGTGCGAAAGTGACTGAAGCCGAGATGCCAGGACAGGATCACTTTTGTATTTCTTTTTGTTCTTCTTTATTTAAAAGTTTAGCCAGACAGCCGCAAAAATGAAGGCATATTTTGTAAAAACCTTCATATTCCTTGCCTTCTCAATTTATTTTTTTAAATATGGAACAAATACATTGAGTCAATTGCTTCGTCCACCGCGAGGAAAGTTGGCTCTCTGTGCCGCGCCAGGAAATTTTTCTCCCCGGAAACGATACTTCAAATATACAAATCAACCATTCGCCCTTGCATGGAGTATTGCTGCTATATATGGTCTGGGGCACCTTCTGTTTACCTCGGAGTTCTTGACAAGATCCAGAGACGGATATGTAATATAATTGGCCCTGATCTGGCATCTCGTCTACAGTCGCTCTCTCACAGACGTGCCGTTGCCTCTCTCTGTCTTTTTTACAAATACTTTCATGGTAATTGCTCCGATGAGCTGCTTTCACTGGTTCCCAGACTTCATGAATTCAAGCAACCTACGAGGCTGGCATCCCGCTCCCACCCTTACACCGTAGAAACTTTTAAATGTAGCCGTCTCTTCTACTCCAATAGCTTCATACCTCGTACATCTCGCCTGTGGAACACCCTTCCCAATTACTGTTTCCCTGAGAGCTATAACTATTCAAATGTAATGTAAATCGACATCTCCAGTTACCTTGATCTATCCACTATCCCTCTCCTCATCCTTTCTTCTATCACTCCTATCTGCTCTCGCTCCAAATCTTCTGCAACCCCCTGCGTCCTAGTGGCTTCACGCCTTGCTCGGGGCGTAATGCTTAAAAAAAAAAAAAAAAAAAAAAACACACACACACAATTTTCAAGAATAAAAAATTAATGCATAAAATTAAAGAAAAAAAACAATTATTTTCATTCCGCAAAAATAAATAAACATTTTACTGTTTCAGCTATATCGACACAATGAAAGTAATATGTACCGCAAAAGCAATAGATATTCCCTTATGGAGTATTAGTGCCATATAGAAAGTGGTGTAAGACAAGGATGTGTCTTCTCACCGGACCTATTCAACCTATACAGCGAGGCAATTCTAAGAGAATTGTAAACCCTACCGGGATTTAGCATTGGCGGCCACAATCTTAACAACATAAGATACGCAGACGACACAGTTCTGATATCAGACACTTAAAAGAAATTACAAAATCTCTTACAGAAGGTAGCAACGGAGAGTGAGAAGAAAGGACTAAGCATAAAATACAAGAAGACAGAATGCATGGTCATCAGTAAGAAGAAGAGCCCGAAATGCGACTTGCAGGTCGGGAACAGCAGAATCAAGCAGACGCAGAAGTTTTAAAAGCATCTTGACAGAGGACGGTAAGTGCGACACTGAGATCCGTAGACGTATTGAGATGGCAAAGGACACATTCCAAAAGCTGGACAGAGTATTGCAAGACAGGAGGATTTCTTTGGTAACAAAGAAAAGAATACTGAGCTGCTATGTGACATCTCTTCTCCTTTATTGCAGCGAATGTTGGAGGATTTCCTCAAAGATGAAAAAGAGACTCTGGGCGACGGAGATATGGTTCTACAGAAGGATGCTAAGGATATCATGGACCGAACATGTGAGCAACGAGGAGGTCTTAGAGAGGTTGCAAACAAGGAGAAGGCTTATACTTAACATCAGAAAGAGGCAGCTGAAGTTTCTGGGACACGTAATGAGAAAGGTGGGCCTGGAGAATCTGATACTCACGGGTCGAATAGAGGGAAAGAAAGACAAGGGAAAGCAACGCATGACATACCTAGCGGGCTTAAGCAAGTGGATGACAGAACGTGATCTGGGGGAGGTGGCTGAGGGACGAAACTTATTGAGAGCTACAAGGGATAGGAGGAAGTGGAGAGCCATGATCGCCTACGTCCTGAAAGGGCACAGCGCATAAAAAGAAAGATCTGAGCTGGTGCTGCCCATTCTTCACTTGCCTGTCTAAAGTTCAAAAACGTCTATGCGGACTTCCGGATGATGAATTACTTTTCACCCCACAAGCCCTTTACCACAGACGAAAAGTCACGAGCCTTCGCTGCTCCGTCGCAATTTCCATATGTGTTCTGACAAACTACATTCTCTAGTCCCATCAACCCTGGCCTTTAATATGACCCTCCATGCCACGTACACAAGTGTGAATCATCCCCATTCCCTTAGTATACCATTAATAAGGAGTAAGTTCCATTCAGACAGCTTCTTCCCAAGAACCGCTGCTTTGTGAAACAGATTACAGGTAAGATGTTTTCCCGATCGGTACAATCTTGACAGCTTTGTCTAGGATTAACAGTTATCTTTCCTGCATAACCCCGGAAACTTCACTTCTTACCTTTTTCTTACACTCATGCAACACCAGGCACCTTGAGTGGATCTTGGGCCTAGTACAGGGTGAAATTTAGTATTAAAAAATGTGGTTCTTTAAATGTATAAATAAATCGAAAATGCAAGAGAGATAACTCTAATAGGGACAAACAACAGATATTACAGACAAAAGAACAACATATGCGTTTTCAAATATATTTTTACCATTATTGTTATTAGGTTGGAAAGAAAAGCTTGTCGCATTGGAAAATTAAAAAGCAATACGTTCTTTTTTGGTCTTAACTGGTATGTTTAATCAAGGTAATATTTCTCCCTAATATCAATGACATAATACCATGCATGACGAAGACGGTGAAAGAATTTGGAAAGAGAAGAAAAATAAAATGAAGAAGAGCCTGAAAGAGTTTGGAAAGAGAAAAAGACAAAATGAAGGGGGAGGGAAAGAGTTTGGAAAGAGAAGAAAAATAAAATGAACGAATGAATAAAACAGTTTGGAAAGAGAAGAAAAATAAAATGAAGGAGGTGGTGAAAGAGTTTGGAAAGAGAAGAAAAATAAAATGAAGGAGGTGGTGAAAGTTTGGAAAGAGAAGGAAAATAAAATGAACGAATGAATAAAAGAGTTTGGATATAGAAGAAAATAAAATAAAGGAGAGATTGAAAGAGTTTGGAAAGGGAAGAAAAATAAAATGACGGAAATAGTGAAAGAGTTTGGAATGAGAAGAAAAATAAAATGAAAGAAAGAATGAAAAGGTTTGGAAAGAGAAGAAAATAAAATGAATGCTAGAAAAAATACGAAAGAAAGCGAACAGAACCAGGGAAAATATAACCATTTGTAGAACGAGGTGTTTGAGAATGACGATTTTGCAACCTCCCAGAATTGGCCTTACATGTAAAGCAATTTTGGAAATCCCCAATCGGAATCCCTTTTTTATTATGGGACGTTTATAGTATCTCACCTATATTCTTTCCAAAAACAGTTACCGTAATAAAACCAACATCAGCGCATAAAACACATATACAGAAAGCTTATCGACAGGTGTGTCTTTCTGTACAATCACATTTACACTTGAATATGAGCATACCACGCATGCGCAAACCTCGATTCGCGAACTTTAAAGCAAGCTCCTTGAACGGCGCCAAAAAGACGTTTGCACTCTTGCTGAGAGCACACCTTAAATTAAATTGTCTTATAAACGGGTTCGAGATAAGATTCACATATAGTAAAAAAAAAAAGCAAAACATTGAAACATTCATGTTTGCCAGTATTAAGGCAAAATTGATTTTGTACGCACTCCTGAGATATTTTCTTTTTTTGATCATTTCACACCAAGCAAGGCGATAATGCCACTAAGATACAAGGTCTTACGGAAAGTGAAAAAAATAACTATAGGGAAAAATAAAATAAAAGAACAGAATTCAGAAAGACAGTAGATGACAATTTATGTTACATTTAAATTTTTAATACCATAACTGACAGGAAAGCAAGAAACCGGAAGAGAGTTTCACGGGGGAGAAGTGCGAGAGAAGAAACTACAAGAATAGAACTTACTCTTACATCTAAAAAATTTTCTTTTCGTCATATTTTATCACACTCAGTTTTCCTAGCGTCTTAGTGGCTTTATTGAGGTGATTTTTTTTTTAAGTATGCTTGATGTGAATCTGAAAAGGCTAGCTCACTGTTACTTCTTAGCGAAATCGGGATAGGACGCTAAAATTAGCGCTCCGTGCAATAGAAGCACATGGCGTAGAGTATATACATAACTTACTCTTTAATTCCCCAACAGAATAAGTTCAACTTTTCAATCATTCTTTACAGAAGCTCTTAAAAACATTACTTGAATTTGCACTTTCTTTCGTGAATATGTCTTGAAAACGATATGCAAAATATATAAACAAGAAGAAACTAAATTCAATTGGCTAGATTATATATATGTGCGCATGTATAGTTTCATCAGTGTAAACACCACTTTACTCCGATGAAGTTCTAAAGATGATCGTGCGAAAACCTTTTCCATTTTGTCATAGATTTCACTAATATATATATTTATACATATTTGTCTACATACATACGAACATATTACACACACACACACACACACACACACACACACACACACACACACACACACATATATATATATATATATATATATATATAATCGACTCTCCCGCCGCGTTCGACGTATGAGGGTCATAAGTCCCCAGGAAACCGACATCCCGACACCGGCACATGAAATTTGTTTATAGTGGTGAAGGCCACACTTTTTGGAGGGACGAATACAGAAACCTGGTGCACCGAATGCATGCCACAAGGTTCCCAAACGACCCTCTGCAGGTTTTGAATTCAGAGTTGTCCTTCTCCTAGACCAGTTGCCATCCAAGGCTATAGAACCCAGTCTGTCCTGCTATTTTACCCATAGCTGGAGGGAAATGAAGAGGATACATACCTTTCCCAAGGGTATTAGCACGTAAGTGAATGTAATGGATTCGACTGAATTCGAATTTGGCTCTGCGATTCCTCAATCCAAGCCGCTATCCACTGCTCCACCGTGCCTCCCACTCTCTCTCTCTCTCTCTCTATATATATATATATATATATATATATATATATATATATATATATATATATATATATATATATATATATATATATATATATATATAAAAAGTGGGAAAAAATTGCGTAATATGTTTTGTCCTTTTGAACTTAATCGGACTAAAGTGATGTTCTATTGATGGAATTATGTATGCATCGTAAAGTGAGGAATATAAAAACGCAGGTGTTGCTTATAATTGTGCACAGAAGAAACATTAAAATGTTGGAACGCTGAAATTTTAAACTTTTACATTAAATCATTTTTTTAGATGTATCTGGGTATGTAGTTTAGTTAAATTCATTTATTTTCCTTATTCTTTTGTCTTTATCACTTCTATTATTAAGTATTTCACATTGTGGTGAGAGAAGATCTGCCAAGAAAAGTGAAATGTTGTAAGAACCTAAATGCAAATTTACTTTGGATGATCTAGCAATCAAAGCACTTTCTATACACTTTCGCCTTAGTAAATTGCCTTCTTTTTTACTTAAATCGAAATTATGGTAATACTCATTAGAGTCAACAACTAATGCATTAAGTGTTGCTTTGCAAAAGATCCTTTTATGTTCTTATAACATTTTATTTAAATTCCTCGAAGTTTCTCCTATGTATTCCTTGTGGCAATTATTGCAGGAGTAAATTCAGCTTTCAAGTTTTAGCTTATCATTATTTTGCTTTTTGTTAATTAAACCTCTTATTATTGTTTTAGAAGTAGTTGTAACAAATTTTATGTTAAGCTTAGATAAATTCGTTTCAGTTGTAGTTGCGATAGAGTCGATTGGAAGAATAATATATTTTGATTTGTTAGGTTTGACAGAAACGTTCACTCCTTATTTTGAAATATTTTACGAGTCTTACGCTTCGCATTGAATATGAAATGATTATTTCATTGGAGGAACTTAAAGTATTTCAATGTATTTATCTTCATTATGTAAATATTGACGGTTACAAATTCTGAGGGCTATTAAATAGCATCTGATAATTATTCTGGATTTTTATATTGTTGTTATGGTGAGAATAGAAATTTATTAGGTCATTGTTATTAGACACTTAGCTTTAGGGCTTTATCAGTACGGTGTAACATAATATTTAGGAAAGGTAATGTGTTATTTCTTTCGGTTTCGTAAGTAAATTCTATTGTATGTTTGACTTCGGTTTATCTACAAGGTCAGGTAATGTAATTTTGCGGGGATATATTAATAGAGCGTCATCAATATATCGGAAATATGTTGATTGTTTAGGTAAAATACTCTGGAAAGGACCAGATTCAAGAATGACAAGCTAAATCCCCACTCAGCGGCCAACCTATTGGTAATCCATTTTTTTAAAAAAGTTATTGTTAAAGATGATATAACATTGATGGGAAATTAAACTATTTTTTATGATTTTAGCTATTGTAGTTTTTATTTTGTTTGTGTCAGATACTTTTTTTTAATATTTAAGCATTTGTTAACAGAAACATTGGTATAAAGGGATTTAACATCTAAACTAGCCACGAGATTATCTATCATATTTATTCTCCTTAGTTTTTCGAGTAGATTGCCTGAATGTTTAACATGAGATGGGCTGATTGCTCAGAAGGGGAGGGCGTTCAAAAATGTTTTATGGCTTTCGCCAGTTTGTGGTGAGCGCTACCAATACTTGATATAACGGCAGGTGGGAAGAAGATTATTCACACCTTTCCCAAGGATATTAGTACGTAAGAGAATGTAATGGGTTCAGCTGGAATTCGAACTCGGCTCTCCGATTCCTTAATCCGAACTGCTATCCATTACTCCACCGTGCCTCCTTTGAATTGAAATATAGATGGGTGCAAGATCATATAAGTTTTCTTGGGGTGCGAGGTATAGAAAAGGTTGGGAACTCTTGCACTGATGGATTGAATAGTTTAAACATCCTTGCTTAGTAGGAGTTAATTAAACCGAAGAAGGCATGAAACATACTAATTACTAAATCCAAAGGTGGGTACGCTCATACGTTTGGCCTACAGTGAACACACACACACATCGCATATATATGTGTGTGTGTGCTTTCTTTATTTTTTTCCCATCATTGAATTTCGACATCTTTCTCGCGGCATTAACACGTGTTTCTCATTTCCTGATTCAAGCAAAAATAAAGAAATGTTTAGTCACAGTATATTCTTCCTCGATCGCTAATATTTCGTTGTCTTCCGCATTTCACCGCTCTTCGTCAGGCCACCAACAAGTAATTTTTTTTTCTACTTCTCCCATTTTTTCCTTTTTTTTTTTTTTGTATCGTACATCCTCCTACACGTCTACACTAAATAAAAATTACCTTCCTTCCGTCCAACGCCGCGAGGTGCACAACTTCAGCCTCGAATTCACCTGCGTCTGGCGCATGCGCACACACACACACACACACACACACATTCTGATCCAGACTTCCGGTGCGTAATACGAGCCACGAAGGGAACCATATTTACTAGCGGCCATCAGGAGGCGAAAACACACAGCAACATGGCCGCCCAGAAATCACACGTTAAAATCCCTATTGTTTACTTACATATCAATTCTTTTTCCTTCCGTTATCTCTTTCGCTCTCACGCCCTTTCTTTCTTTAATTATAGAAACACACAAACATTTATGCATACATACATGCATAACTACATGCATGCAAAGAGTGGGAAGTTGTGAAGAACCAAGATCGCCCACAGCCTGAACGGACACGGCACATCAAACAAGAATGGAGAAAAATAAAAAGATTTTATCTTTTTAAAGAACCAGGTACGAACCACATTCACACACAGATTCACAGAGAGAGAGAGAGAGAGAGAGAGAGGGGGGGTTCAGTATTTGAGTTTTCTCTAGTCATGATTAATGGTAATGGTAATATTAGCCTTTTCCCTGCAAGGATCATTAAATATTTGAGCTTAACAATTTCAACAATGTAATACCATAACATACCTAAGTATAAATACATGTCACTATTTAAACAACTAATGGGGGGTACAGATGAAAAGAATTTGTTTGTTCTTATTTAGTTTCTTCGTCTGTCTCTTTCTTTCTTTCACCGAATCCAAACAGCGTCTCTGATATGTCTTTTCCGCTTTTCCTCGCGATCAAATCCGTATAGTCCACTATTTCTAAGGTATTGACAGGGCGTAACGTATGCGTTAAGAAATGAAGAAACAAACAGAATAATAATAATAATAATAATAATAATAATAAAGTACATGAATTATTCAAAATAAAGGAAGCCAACAAATTCAAAAG